CGCGGCTGGCAGCATCGGGCCAACTGAAGCAAGTCGATCTCATGTTCCTGGACCACTACAAGCCTGCCTACACAACAGACCTGAAGCTCTGCGAGGAGCTTGGCCTGGTCACAAAAGGCTCCGTGCTGGCAGCAGACAATGTCATCAAGCCTGGAAATCCGCCGTACTTGAAGTATGTCAGGTCGAGCGTTGAGGAGAAGGTCAAGGAGGCTGGAGAGGGTGGTCAGACAAACCTCAGCGGCATTGCTGAGACGAACGTCAAGATGTACGAGAAGAGATACGGCAAGGCCAAGTTCAGCGAGAGCAAAGGCAACCCGAATCTCAAGTACGAGAGCAAGCTGGTAAACAGCTACGAGCCAACGGGCGTACCTGTGAGTTGGAGCGCCGGCCGTCTCTCACGCGCATTTACTGACGAGCACAGGACGGCATCGAAATCACACGATGCGTTGGCTAGAAGAAGGCATCATAACTTGGTACATGACGCGTTGCAATCTTATGAATCGCGAGTTTCAGTGCTGGTGGGTCCTGAGCGCCTCGGCGCGGCGACGGTACCCGGCTGCTACCAGCTACAGGTGCCAGCAATGCCTCAATGCTTGCAAAAACAAACGGCATAAACAGATGAATCTATAGTTTCATAAATTCTGCGAAGCATCTCTGCGAGGCCGACATTGACAGACTGTGGTGATGTTGTGACCACGGCATGACACGTCGCGGTCGAGGAAATAACCATCAGCCCTGCATCCGCCGCCCAAACCCCTCACCCCCCATCCGCCGATCGCGGCCAGATCGCAAACAGGATCTACTACGACCAGATCGCAGACAGGATGGAGTCTAGGGTTCCACAATGTCGTACATGAGTGAAGTAACGATGACGTCTAGACTAGCGAGCAAAGCCAGCCTTCTCAGGCCAACAGCTTTGTCTGGGCGAATGTAGCCGCACGCACATCAATCACCTCGCCTATGCATGAACGCATTGCGTGACTACGAGCCGTCCGTCTGCACCGCTAATTCCTACTTACTTGCAGCCCGCATTGCAGTGCAGCGCAGCTTGCAGGCTTTTGCGAGGGCATAGTTGAGACCTCTCTCGGTCCTTTTTTTGATAAGGTAACGCCGTTGGTGGTGTGTTGGGAAACGTCTGAACGGTGAAGACTGTGCGAGAACAAGTGCCGAGGTCACGAGCACCTCTCTTCCATCAACAGCGACGGCGAAGACATGGCAGAGGGAAAGAAGGATGCCGTGGTGCCGTTTTACTATAGCCATGTGTGGAAGAATGTGCTTCTACTGGCTCTGAGCGCTGTTTGCGCGCCTGTGTCGGCAGCGCTGGTGTTGCTCGGTCTTGCAGTGTCGCGACTCCATGGGCAGCACAACGCAACCTTTTCGACCGAGGATAAGCAGCATGTGGCGGCGGTACGAAGACGGAAAACTATCCTCGTCACTGGGGTGTCCATGACCAAAGGGCTGACGATTGCGCGCATCCTGTCGCAGCATACACCGCATCGCATCATTGGCGCCGACATCTCTTCTTTATCACCAGGCCGCTTCTCCAGCGCTATTGCGAAGTACTACTGTCTGGACACACCGAGTGGCGATGATGCAGAGCCATACATTGACTCCATTCTCTCGATCATCCAACGCGAGAAAGTGGACCTATGGATCAGTTGCTCCAGCGTTGTCGCAGCCGTAGAAGATGGCCAAGTCGTCCGCCTAGCAGAGAAGCAAGCAAGAGAACAAGGCCGCCATTTCGAAGCCATCCAGTTCCGGGAAGACGTTGTCGAAAGGTTCCATGAAAAGGACAAGTTCATCGACTACATCGAGTCGCTTGGTCTCCCAATCCCGGAATCGCACCGCTGCACCAACCCACATGAAGCGCTCGATGTGCTCATGGGTGAGCTGCACAGAACGCCAACGAAATCAGGAAGAACGGTACCAAGACGACAGTTCATCATGAAACCCATCGGTGTGGACGACAAGGCCAGGAACAACATGATGACGCTGCTGCCATTCAATAGCCCAGACGCCACAGCCCAATACATCCACTCGCTCAACATCACCAAAGAGAACCCGTTCCAGCTCCAGCAATTCATCAAAGGAAGCGAATACTGTACGCACGCCCTCGTCATCCGTGGAAAAGTAAAAGCTTTCACCAGCTGTCCCAGCCTAGAACTCCTCATGCACTACGAGCCGCTGCCTGCCTCGTCGCCCCTCAGCAAGAAGATGCTTGGCTTTACCGAGCGCGTGTGCAAGGACGGCGGCGAAAGCTTCACCGGCCACCTAAGCTTCGACTTCCTAGTCGAGAACGACGACAAAGGCGCAGCCGCCAAGTTCTACCCTATTGAATCCAACCCGCGCGCCCACACGGCCGTCGTGCTCTTTGAGCAAACTCCCGAAATGGCAGAAGCTTACCTCTCCATTTTCAACAGCCCTAACCCCTTGTCATCGAAACACAAGATTGGTCCTGTTTTCCCTCGCTCCCCGACATACAGCTATTACTGGATCGGCCATGACTTGGTGTCTTTTGTTGTCCTGCCGCTTCTTGATTTACTTTTCGGCGTCGCGACCTTCCAGGCTGCTTTCAATGACTTGGCGACATTTTGGAGTCATGTTGTCGGTTGGAAGGATGGGACGTATCTGTTCGAAGACCCTCTGCCCTTTTTCGTTTTGTATCATATCTATTGGCCTGCGAAGTTTCTAGAGGCGTTGAGGACAGGGAAGGCGTGGAGCCGGATTAACGTTAGTACTACGAAGATGTTCGAGGGATGAGTATAGCGTGATGTGGGTCAGACTGTAAAAGAAAACGGGCTGATGGGGGGTTACTAAGAGCGTAACGGCCGTTAGAAATGTGTTTATAGACCGTTTGTGAAGAGAATTTGTGCCATTGTCTGGACGTCTTAGCTGGCATCACATCGCACTGCTATGCTATGCTTACTCAAAAGTACGAATCTACGCGACCGCAACTCGTTGTTCGTGGATCCCTCTTTACCAAGCACTCTCCTTCCCCCTCAGTCCAAACTCACATCACTCTCCGTCTCCCAAACCCTGCCAATTTCCATATCCCTAACGCTCGACCAGACTCTGTCCAACTCTGCAGAGGTGGAGATACGAAGTCAGTATATATCTCAAATGCACTTCATACTGTCAAAACTTACCGGCCGAATCCCTCCTGGCATTCTTCCTCAGCTCCGCAACGGCAATCGCCATTCGTCGCTGCAGACGAGTCTGCTGGCCATGTAGGGCACGAGCCATAGCGCATCGCGTGTAGCAGTGAAAGGCGATGCGATGCTTCCTAGCGGTACCAGAGAGACGGTGGAATGAGCCCTTTCGCCGCTGGGTTAGCGCTAGAAGCTTGGTGTTCCTAGACGATGACGAAGGAAAGATGGCCGTGATACGGGATTTGCGAGACGTAGTGCTGGAATATGTGATGCGGTGGTATATCCCTTTTGGCTTGTTCCTGGTCGCCGTAGCTAATGAAACGCACCCTGTAGATCTTGTGCCGCTGTGTTTGTTGTCATCGTTGATGGGTGCTGCGAGTGAGATTGCGGCAGCAGTGCCCATGACCTGACGGATTTGCGCGCCCAAGGAATGGCGCTGGTCTGCTTCGGGCGCAATGGAAGTGGGGATGTGTTCGTCCGCAGCGACTTCTACACATGCGCCGTTCCAACCGCCTGAGTTGAGCAAGTGAACTGGGCGGTTCGCGGAGTCAACGCCCGCTTCGCATCTGCGCCTGATGTCATTTCTCTTGTCCTCGAAGCGTGACAGGGCCTCCATATCCTGGGTATCGATAGCGACATCAAGGACTTCTAGACTATCAGGCTCGTCTGACCAGTTTTTCGTGTCGCACTGTGTATGCTTTTGTCCCAAGATCTGAGACCCCAGCGTATACGTCCCACCATCTTCTGAGTCTCGATCTGTCTCGAACGTGCGCTTGGTGCCGTTGACGATGCTCGGCGGAGGCGCAAGGCCATCTAAAGCATCGGAAACCTCAGTCACCACTTCGTCTTCGGATTCTGCCTGTGGAACGCTCTCTTCGACACCAGAAGCCTCTTTCTCAGCTTCTTCAGCAGCATACGAAGCCTTGAGACCCTCCCAATCCCCCTTGACCCGTAACTTGGCGCGCCTCAACTCCACATCACCCTTGGCAAGGGTCAAGTCATGCATCATCTCAGCGACACGTCGAATCTGCTTCAACGGTACGACTTTGGCTGAGAGCTGCTGTCCAGCACCCTCCTTCGCTTCGGCCTCTTCTTCTTTCTTAGTCTTGGGCTCAATTCGAAGATCGCGGAAGAGATCTGTTATCAGTTGGAAATTGTGGGGCTCGGGATTTGCATTGATGTCTTCAGCCCGGGAGCGCCGTACATCGTCGCTCATGAGAACTTCCTCGCGAAGGCGTAGAACGAGGCCGAAGGCGCGACGATAGAAGGAGAGGAAGTCAAAGTTACTGTGTACTTCGTTCTCCTGCAGTTCTGACCTCATGGTACCTAGCAGGTTGGCGTGTGTCTCGTCCTGCTTGTCGAAATCGGGTTTGCGTACCCTGGCCTTGTCCTTGCCTTTTCGCCTTGGCTTCGAGGGCGTGATCTTGGTTGCTAGATCGGCAAACGTGTCTCGCAAGTCCTCTGAGATCCGCCTAGCCTGTTTACAGTCATCGTCTGATGCGCCTCCAACAGTCTCTTTCCGTCGGTAGAGATGGTTGAAGACTGCATGACGCCTCAGCCAACGGTTATTGTCCGGGTTCGGGCCATAGTAATCGGAAATCTTAGCCTCTAATGGCAAATCACTCCGTAAACCGCGTTTCACTCCAACTTGTTTCGGCACCCGAGGGAGGTACCTGGAAGTGTGGCGGAAGTCCGTGGCCATAGCGCGGCTACTGGTGCTACCCGAAAGGAGATAGCGATTGAGAAAGTCGTTAGGGTGGGTTGGTGGATCGCCGTGAAACAAAGCTCTTGACCTAAGCGTTGAGCACAGAATCAGTGCGTGTCTCACATGTAGTTCATACGCTGAAAATCTTACCCATGCATCTTGATCAGATAGTCGAGGTCTGGCCACTGGATGTTCAGACCGCCGATTTGGCAGGCGGCGTTGTAGAGGTGAGCGAGGCCATTGATGAACCACTGTATCTTGGTAATGGTAGTATGGTGGTAGATCTGGTTGTAGTGCCACATTGAAAGTCCCGCGAGCGTCGAATGAACGGTGATGAAGACGCTAGCAGCCATCGGCACTTCTCGCGAATTCAGAACATCTTGCAGCCAGTCCAACAGCCTGTCTAGAGGCTTCAACAGGAGGGTACTGAACTTGATCTCTTCTTTGCACATGTAGTCAGGCTTTGTTCCCTTGGCCCACATGCGGTCTTCGTAGTCGACATGACAACGGATACATCTGGCGATGTCTAAGCCGTGCTCGGTGAGGTCGCGTAGCATCCGACGACAGTCGTCGCGCACTGCCTCTTGGATGTCGAGAACAATGGCAAGGCCGAAGGGTAGGTAGTCTTGTGATGTACTCTGATGCAACAGCATCTCTGCGGTAAAGTGATCCCACTTTGGAAGCTTGAGGTTGCCCTTGCGAATAACGTCGAAGAACCTCAAGAATATCATGAGAGGGTGCTCCTGGATGTCGTTGCCAATACTGTCCTTCATCGGGCGCTTATTCGTGACGTAGCTCTTGATCAAGACGGCAGCATCATCCAGACAAAACAGGTGATGCAGTGCCTTTTCAGTGAGCGGTGTTGCTGCGTTCTGTACTCCAGTGTTGGGAGCTGCTTTGATCGTATCGAAAAGCTGACGGATGAGTATGGCCAGGTCTCCTGGTAACAAATCGAGCTCCTCCATCAGTGCCTTGACGTTCTGGTGCAAATGATCTAAATGCAGGTGGACGAAGTCAGTATCTACTTCACATGCAATTTGTACAGAGACACTTACCCTGGGCTAGGTCGGTCACTAGCGCTGCGGTCATCGCATTGACATGGCCCTCATGGTAAGCGACCCACACCTCGTAGACGACAGCCCGTATGCGGTTGAACTTGTAAAGGAAGCAGAGTACAAGAAAGTCACGGCGCAACTGTTCTTCCTCTGCAGTCAGCAGGTTCTCCTCTGGTATCGGCGCCTTCGTCTTCGTCTTGGAAGTCAGAGGCTGCTGCTGCTGGCTGCCATCATCTATGTCAACCTGGTCCCGCTTCCGCATCTTCTCAAGTAAATCGTCCTGTTCGTCTTGGCTTTTGTTGGACTCGGCGGGAAACTGGATGAAGACAAGGGTAGGCGTGTCAGTCTTGCCGTTTCGAGCCTTATTGATACCGGGGACAAGATCCTTCAGCACCGCCATGAGCGCTTCTAAGCTGCCATTGAAGTATTCATGACCCAGGTCCGCCGTGTTATTGTGTTTGTGATATTGCGTTACCTCCTTCCTTGACCGGATAGCGTCTCCCAGGTCGTCGATACCACTGGTGTCCGCGAGCGGAATGCTCGTAGCGGCTATGGCGTTGACGAGCTGCTCCTGTTTTTGTAGCGGTATTCTGTAGCCCTTCTTGTTCTTTTTCTTCTTAGCCTGGTCTGCAACCACATTTGCAATCTCCACGCCACGTTGGAAGGCTGTCTGGAGCAACCACGCTTGGAATTGGTCGGTGTAGGTCTTGTAACGCTTGACTGTCTCGGGGAGTTCATTTTGTCGGTAGTAATCCATTTCTTCAGTAGACTGGATCTGCAGCCGAGGAACTGAATACCGGCGACAGTAAAGACGGGGAGGAGGACTGATGGCGGCAGATTAAGCTTGTGGGGCAGACTTGCAAGTGCACCAGAGGAAAAATCACATGGAGACCTGTGCTTTCTGACATAGGATGAATGACGAGTAGAGGACGAAACTTCAACGACAACTCGCGCTCAAGCGGAGGACTCACACTTGTATATTGCGCAGGGCCAAGCCAGGAAGGCGTAATTATGGCCCACTGAGATTTCGTTGCTGTGTCAACCCTGATGTTACCAGGTGGTGGCCTAGAGACAGCAGTTTAAAGTGAAAGGAGCGCGAATCCCCAATACCATAGCCCCTGTCAGCTCTGAAATTGTCACGAGCATCTCGTTACAGCTAGCATAGTCAATGGGAGACAGTAGCTGTGCTCGGCTGGAATTCGTCGTGGAATACATAATCCGGGACTGTATGCGTGGTCGTGTCGGCCGATGGTAAAGCTTTTCTTACAGCAATGAGCGCCATTCCTTGCTAGACGGCCTCTCCAGACCCAAATGGTCACATAGCTGACCCATGTGATCGACGCCCCAGTACCCCTCGGTCTCTCCTCTCGCGTTGGTAGCTGTCGCACATGGTCAACAAAAACTTTCTGATTATCCGACAGAGCACCAATTCTGCGCTTACCGACAAACCATGGCAGCCCAAAGGCGCCGTCTTCAAACGCCTTGGTAGTGTTTCCGCCCAGAGCCTGCTTCACCTCATCGGTCTTCGTCCTCGCGATCACCTTTTGCGCCTCTTCGTCACTGCCCAAAACAGTCCCAAGGATAGCCTGCAGATTCTCCGGCTTAGTCGGGTCGTTCCAGTGCGCCCAGAAATTTTCGTAGCAGAGCTCTATTGCGCGTTCAAGCTTTTTTGGGTGAGAGAGCGAGAGAGATACCAGGGCGCGCTGGATGGGCAATGTGCTGACAGGGAAGCCAGGCGGAGCATCTTGCAGGATGGGCACGTTGAACTGTTTCGACAAGCGCTGGCGCTCCGTATTGATCCACTTGTCTTTGTCTGTATGATGTTAGAGGTCAGGGTAGACAGTGGCAAGTCTGAGAACAAAACTTGACATACTCTTAATGTTCAGCGGCGGTGTGTTCCCACAGACCTTCATCAAACCCCCAAGCAGGATCGGCACATATTGCACCTCGACCTGTTTGAAGGCCTTTGAATTCTGCACAAACGCTTCGATTAGTACCGCATTACACCTCTACGTCTCAAACGCGCTTCAACCTATACCACCACCCAGACGAACTCACCTTGAGGACGTGGAAAGCAATGTAGGCAAACGGGCTCACAATGTCCACGTAGAATGTAATCTTCGGCTGAGACATGACCGGCTTTCTTTAGAGAGCGAGTCTGTGGGAGCTGTTGTGGGGATAAGACAGGGGGTGCGACTTTGTTCCTGGCACCATGCCCTATGTATGTAGGTGCTGGGTGAGGAGTCGGGACCGGTGATCTCATAGCCGGTCAGAATAACCGAGGCACAGACGGCGATCCATCTATTCGCAGGCCGTCATCTACCTACACCGATTTGGCAGCTCCAAGAGATGCTGGTCACTGTCAAAAAATATGCAAGATCCGAGGAGCTGTTGCTTTACGCCGAATATTCCCTGCGACTGAGGGCTGGAGGATGCGCTGGCGACCATCATCTTCGGTGTCACGCAAAGCAAGTGCAACAGCCGGACACGTAGTTCGATAATGACAAACTTTGGTATCTACCCTGCGCCTATAACACAGCTACTCGCCTTGAACTCATCACTGAACAGGATCTCCTCGGAGTGCCTTCAATCAACCATTACAATGTCCCTCTCTAGGCCCAGCTGCGATGTGCCATTCGTAATGGCCTTTACCTCCCCAGCTACTTCATCCATTTCCTTTAGAGTAAAGTCCAGCAAGTAGCTCTCGTCTACCAACTCCTCTACCCGCTTGTAGTGTCTCTCAGAGTACACCTTGATAGCATCCAGCACGTCCTTCAAACTGCCCTTCGCCCCTACTTTCCCCTGCGGCCTCAGACTGGCTAGCCGAGAAGCAGGGTAGGACTTGACCACAGCCCATAGGATTTTTTGAGCGATCGGCGCGGTGCGGACGTTGGTGTTCCAGTCACGGAGGCGGATGAGCAGTTTGTACAGCTGCTCGTCTGCCAAAGAGGCGAGTACTTCGTCAACGGTATGGAGACCTGAAAGGCTGTCTGCATCTGGGTGCTCAGTCTCTACTACCGACTTGAAGAGGGAGAAGAGGCGGGCTGGCTGGTCCATTTGGAGGGCGAGTACGATGGCTTCGCGGTAGTTGCCGGCATACGTGTAGTTTTGTAGTTTCTGATCGAGTTCGACGCGTTCTGTCTCTGCAGTCGTCGCAGCTTCCAGCGTGGAGCTTGTTGTATCCTCCCAGAACGTGATGACACTGTCTCCACCACCAGAAACCAAGGCGCCTGTTGTTGGATGTGCGGCGAGCGCCCAGACACGGTCGGTGTGGTTATCGAGTGTGGTCATGGCCTCGCCCGAGAGTGAGTCCCAAATCTTGACAAGCCCATCACCAGCTGCAGAGGCTACTTGCGGTCCGCGCTTGTCTCGTGCATCGACGGGCCGGTAGGGCAACCACGACAGCTTCAAAACACTGTTGGAGTGGCCTTCCAGGGTGAGCAAACAGCTGTAGTCTGCTAGGCTCCATATCTTGACGGTTTTGTCGCCGCTGCCTGTTGCGATCAGGCCCTTGTTTCCCGAGTTTGGCGCCTGGGACGCCTTGGGTGCGAACTTGACCGACCATACGCCGCGTTTGTGGCCCCGAAGGACACCGATGGCCTCTCCCTCTGCGGCGGAATAAATCTTGACGGTGCGATCCTGCGATGCGGATGCGAAGAGACTGCCAGAGGGGTCGATGTCGATGGCGTTGATGTCTCTGTCGTGTGCTTTCCGGGTGTACTTGGCTCGCAGTTTGCTCTTCATCTCTTTGGTAGTATCCCACCTCTTGACGGTCCTGTCCTGCGATCCGGTCACGACGTATGCGGGAGGATGTGAGAGGGGGTCGGCAAAGGCGGCTGACGATTCCTGAGGTATTGTGTGCGGCAATGCAATCGCGCCGAGCGACTCGGCGTGGCCAGTGAGGACTGCGGCGCAAGTGTAGGATTCGTTCGCGGGATCGATTCGCCATAACCGCGCCGTATTGTCTTTGGCACCTGTAGCAAGCCAGTGGCCTGACCAGTCTACGTCCAGACAGATGACGATGTCCTCATGTCCTTTGAGCAAGCCGACATCCGCACCGAAGTATCTGCCCTGGGTTGCGTCGTCTCCGTCACACTCGTTCAACGTGATGATGCGGATGTCTTCCGAGTTGGTGTTGAGCGCCAGTAGCGACTTGTCTCTGCCAACGTAGGCAATGTCGATGACCTCGTCGTGCGTTCCCGAGACGCGGCGGAATATGGGGAGCGGGTCGATGGTGTCCTGCACGCCGAGCGACTCGGCTGGTCTGAGGGTGTAGAAGTTGAGCACTTGGTCGGCATGGACCGAGACCAAGTAGGGTAACGAAGGATAGTAGAGAATGTTGACAATCTCGTCCGTCTCGGTTCCAGGCGCTTGCTCTCGGGTGAGCTCTCTGCCGCTGGACGCGGACCAGAGGCGCAGTCGGCCGTTCTCTCCACCCGAATACAGCGTGTTGCCGTCGGGGAGGAAGCCTGCGCTCTCGATGCCTTCGAGAGCAGCAATGGTGCGCTGCGCCTTCCACGTGTGCGAGTCCCAGACAATCAGCGTCTTGTCTCGGCTGGCAGACACGAGGGCCTTTTCGTGCGGCGAGTACTGTAGCGAGCGCACGACGGAGACGTGCGAGTCGAGCACGGCGGCGCTCTTGCGCTTGTGCAGGTCCCAGATGCGTATCCGGCCGTCTTCGGCACCAGAGGCCAGGCGGAACTGCATCTGGCTCTCGCCCTGGGCGTGCTCCAGCTCGGCAGCTTCTGGGCGCGACTTCCTCTTCCTCTTCCTGTTGTTGTCGGGGGCGTCTGGGCGCTCCGCCACCTCTACCTCGAAGAAGTGCAGGGCCGAGACGACGCCGCCGTGGCCGTGGAAAGCGTGCGTCGTGTAGCCGCCGACAATGTCCCAGATCTTGACGACGCCGTCTGCGCCTCCGGTTGCAACCAGCGTGCCGCTGCGGTCTGTGGCCAGGGTGACTACGGGCGATGTGTGGGGCCGCAGTGTGCGCAGAAGCTCGAGCTCGATGGTGTCGTCGTCCGTGGCCGCGGGGTGGAGGGCGAAGAAGCGCATCGACAGCGACCGCGAGCACACGACGAGGTGGGATGCAGCTGGCGTCAGCACCAGGGCCGTGATGGCCTCGCCGTCGCCCTCGACCCTTGCCAGCTCCTGGCCGTTGGTGAGGTCGGACAGAAGGACATCCTCGCCCAAGCTGGCGGCCAAGATGCGCCCGTCTTCGCTGAGGGCCAGGCTGCCGCCCGCGTAGATGGGCTGCAGGGTGCGAGCGACGCTGTACGTGGTCTTGACGGCAGCTCGTTGCGCCGACATGATGGGCCGTGTGGTAGAGGCAGAGGCAGGAAGCGTATGCTGGGCGAGCTGAGGGCGCAGGAAAAAAGTTTATCGATAAGACGGCCCCACGGCGCGCTGACGTCTGGCGGCGCGTCTCCCGCACACCCACGGTGCCACCTCCACCACCACCACCACCACCATGGGCCGCCAAGCCTACCTGGACAAGATGGCCTTTGTACGGACCCCGCCAGCGCCGCGCGCACATGCTGGCTAACACGGTGCTAGGGGCGCTCGGCCTTTGCGCCCACGCAGGCCGCATCGCAGTCGGCCGCGTACGTCCAGCTCGAGTCGGCGCAGGCTGACGTCCCGCCGCGCTACCACGAAGCGACCGCCAACAGCTACGTCCAGCTCTACGACGAGCGCGGCAGCCCCATCAACCCGCGCTCCCACCAGTACGGCAAGAAGCTGCGAGGCGCCCAGAACGATGTGCTGGCCTCGGTCGGCGTCGTCGAGCGGCGACACGCCCCGGCGGGAGCCTTCCCGCGCGCCAGCCACGACCGCCTCGAGCTGCTGGAAGCCGAGGACACCGTTGGGAATGCCATTGCACTGGCGACCACGCTCACCGAGAACCTGTGCACCTGGTGGATAGGCACTCTCAGGGAGAGAATTCTGGCACGTTCCTGCCGCCGCCCTCTCGTGCATCCACTAACCGGCGCAGACGTTCCACTATCCCCATGCCCTCACCTTTGCCCAAATCGCGGCCGCTGAGCGTGCCCTCTCTGGCGCCCCCATTGTCTATGCCGGCTTTGCCGCGCGCGTGTTTGCGACCATGCACATCCAAGCCATTGTCTACAGCACCTTTGTCTATCAGCCTGTCGAGCGCTTGCTCTATGCCACACGCGCAACCGCAAGGACACGCAACTTCTTCCGCCACGCCAGGAGAGCCCTCAAGTCTAGCCTTCGCCTGGGCCTCGAGATGCTGTGCTATCCCTTCTTCTACCACGCTGCGTTGCAACGCCTTGGACTAGTGCCCGCCCGCCCACTACTGCCAGCCTGGCGGTCCCTCAATCCCCTCTCAGACTCGTCGCCTCTGCCGTTCTCTCTGCACTGCAATGCGTCTGAGTCCATGGCGGACTGCATCGGTGCAATCTTGACCTCGCCCGCCATCCTCCTGTGTGCTGAGCACTCCATCGAGCGCTGGGTCTACGCCTGCGTCTACGAAGCTGTCGAGACGGCCATGATCCGTCCTGACGAGCCCGACATTCCCAGCCGGGACGCCAGTGGAAAAGACCGGGCCTTGGCTGTTCTCGGGCTGCGACGGGAGTCACCGCCCCTGATTCGGGACGCCGTTCACAGCCTGCTCGCAATGCTTGGGTGGGCCCGGCCGGTGTCCCCTCCGAGCGCACAAAGAAAGCGGGCAATGGAGCTTGCACCCGCAATCGCCTCGAGCGAGATCCAGACGCTACAAGTTGGTGGCACTCAGGTTGCCGGCGCTACCCCACTCAATCTCCCCGTCCTGCACTCGCAAGATCACACTTCCGCAGAGCCGCTCGATGCAGATGTCATTGCCGTTCCGATCGATGCATTTGAGGACCTGGTGCGATGTACCACCCCGCCAGGATCGCCGACACAATCGGAGCAGAACGAGAACGGTCCCCGGATACGCATAACGTCGAGGGAAGGAATCGTAGAGATGGAGGTCCGTCTCCCGCCCAGGATACTTTCCACGCACACGCAAGTCGCAGAAGGCTCGGATCCGTTGCAAGACGACGCAGCTGCCGGGTCAAGGAACCGAGCCCGCTCAATGGACGGTCATGGATACCACCGCGTCACGCAACTCTCGTGTGAGCCGGCGCAGATGATCT